AGTAAGGAAATAAAGAAATAAAGAAATAAAGAAATAAAGAAATAACATACATTCTCTGTCCCACTACCCTGAAAAAATGACTGAACATGAAATGTTATACTGTGTATAGAAGCATATGAATAGTTGGGATGCATATTCTCCTGCAAAATGTTGATAGTTTTATATTGTCTCTTAAGGGGCTATGGACAGAAGGTCACAAAATGGAATTGGGAAGATAGGAGAGATTAACATTATAGTGGCTTAGTGGACCAAGTATATATTGTTTGAGCCAATTGTTTTAAACACTGGCAGATTCCTCCCTCCTTCAGCTGCTCAATAATTTTTCCTTTTTTAAGGAGGGACATTTGTTAGGTTCTTCTTCAAAGAAGGGAGTAAAGTTGTTCTTCTCAATAACCTGCACATTTTTTCCTAATTTGAATGTTTATACATGTATCTTTATCACCCTGATTCTAAAAGAGTGAGTAAAACAGCTGAAATTCATTTTAATTATGAAGATTAACAATTTGTTGACTTTAAAAAAAAGAATAGCAATGAAAATGATGACTTGTTGAGGGAGGTTGACAGGGGTAAAATATCTCTGTTGGTCCTCCTCAACATCTCGGCGGCCTTAGATACCGTCGACCACGGTATCCTCCTGGGGAGGCTCTCCGAGTTGGGAATTGGTGGCTCAGCACTTGCCTGGCTCCGTTCCTTCTTGGAGGACAATCCCCAGAGAGTGCAGTTTGGGGAGAACATTTCGGCCCCATGGAGTCTCAATTGTGGGGTCCCACAGGGGTTGATTATCTCCCCAATGCTGTTCAACATCTATATGAGGCCGTTGGGCAGGGTCATCAGGGGATGTGGGGCACTGTGTCATCAATATGCTGATGACACCCAGCTCTACCTTTCCTTTTCACCAACTGCAGGAGATGCCGTTCTGTCCCTTCAGAGCTGCCTGGGGACCGTACTGAAATGGATGCAGGAAAATGGGCTGAGGCTGAATCCGGACAAGACTGAAGTTCTGACGGTGGGAGCCCCTATGGTTGGCGGCTTGGGTGACTCTCTCACATTTTGGGGGGTGACCCTGGCTGCGAAGAGCGGGGTCTGCAGCTTGGGGGTACATCTGGACCCGACACTCACCATAGAAATGTAGGTGGCATCGGTAGTCCGCACTGCCTTTTCCCACCTTTGGCAGATTGCCCGGCTGCGGCCCTATCTCAACACGGGGGCGCTCACTACCTTGGTGCACGCGCTCATAATCTCAAGATTAGACCACTGTAACGTGCTCTTTGGGGCTACCTTTGAGGCTGATGTGGAAACTTCAGGTGGTGCAGAATGCGGTGGCCAGACTCCTTTGTGGAGTGAGAAAATACTAGCATATTTCTCCTACTCTGGCCATGCTGCACTGGCTGCCCATTCATTACCGCATCAACTTCAAAGTTTTAATGATTACTTATAAGGCCCTAAATGGTTTAGGACCTCGATATTTGGCAGAACGCCTGCTCCCACCAAGATCTACCTGGATTACCCGTGCGAGTCAGAAGGTGAGGCTGAGGGGCCTGATGCCAAGAGAGGCCCAGAAGGAAAAGACCTGAAACCGGGCCTTTTCAGCGGTGGCTCCTCGCCTCTGGAACAACCTCCCAGATTAGATTCGCACGGCCCCTATGCTGGGTGCCTTTAAAAGTCAATTAAAAACATGGCTGCATATTCAGGTCTTCCCTCCAGCTAATATCTGATCTTTCATTTCATTTTTCTTTATTTCTTATTTTGTCTTTGTATTGTATTTGTTATTGTATGATTTATGTAATATTTTGTGTTATTTTACTGTTCTATGTGATATTGCAAGCCGCCTAGAGTGGTCTTATAGACCAGATGGGTGGGGTACAAATCAAATCAAATCATATCAATAAATAAAAGAAGCTAGGATTACTGATCCTCAAATTTCACTGTCTACATATGTTCAGGATCATAAATGAAAGGATTCTCAGGATGTTACAAGTGACTCAAGGAGTAAAATATATCTTCTTGGACCATGATGGGGGAACCATCTTGGTCCCAGGAGCTGAATTACTTTCCGTAATCAATTCAGTAGGATAAATGACATTAGGCAGCTAGAAGCCACCCTCAAACTCACATCCTCTTCCCTAGCATTATAAGCTCCTCAAAGAGCTGAATGAATCCTTCCTTCTGTTCTACAAAGGCCAAGAATGCACTACAAGACACTATGCTCAGCTAACCACAGAGATGGTTAGGGACACAGAGTAGAGAGTGATGTCTACATTAATTAGGAATATCAGGCATGCCTGTGGCTGCCCACTGCTCACCTCGGCTAGCTGTCATATACACACACTTCCTCTCCTTGCTGATTGGCCGTGGTTTCCCTGGTGCCCATGAGATGAAGTTCAAAAGGGAGCCATCAGACCACCTGGAGAAGGCAAATGCCATTTTTAAAAAGCAGCCGCATTATTATTTGTTTTTCCAAACTCAAGGCTGTGGTTTCCTTTATTGAATCAATCCATGTCATTTCATTCTGTGTTGTTATTATATAACACACAAACAAATAACCATCAAAAGAATACAAATACAGGGAGGGAAAAGGGGGTAACACAAAACAAAACATAAACACAGGGAAGTATTTGCATTCATACAATATCTAATATACACTTGACTCCATGGCTGTGATACAATACTAGAATCCATAACCTATATTATATTCTCTACTCATATATGTTTCTGGGGCCAATCATAAAACATTTTCCAGCTTTCTTTAACATATGTGCTCAGGTTCTCACATAATGTATCTGACAGTCTATCCGTTTCTGTGCTATCTAATAATTTTTTAAATAGCTCCTCTTTCTTTGGATTTTCCGGATTTTTCCACTTTTGGGCTTAGATCAACCTTGCAGCTGTAAATATGTGCAGCAACATATATTTAACTTTTTAATCAACAATTTCTGGCATTATATACAGCAAAAACATTTCTGGTTTAAAAGCTATTTCTTGTTGTATAATTTCTTGTGCAATATATTTTATCTGTCTCCAAAAGCTTTTTACTTTATCACATGTCCACCACATATGAAAAAAAGTTCCAGGTTGCTGAGAATACTTCCAACATGCCAGTTTTACAGGTGTAAACTGCAATCTAAAAAAATATTTAAAATATTTTCTCTCAAGTTTACTGGGAAAAAAAGTTCCAGGTTGCTGAGAATACTACCAACATGAGTTGCTAGTACCTGGCACCATTTTTCCCAGTTTTACAAGTGTAAACTGCCATCTAAAAACATCTTTAAAATATTTTCTCTCAAGTTTACTGATTTGACCCATGTATAATTCTCATTCCACTTTCAAGTCCAATTGTCTATATCTATATTATAATCAAAATTTTGTGCCCATTTAATCATCACTCTCAGTGCATTATAAGCACATTGAGTGAGTTGGGTATCTGGTTATGGAGCCAGAGTTTGAGATTTCTGTTCCTCACTGCCTTTGGGGGAAAAACAAGCCAGCCTGTGTAGCCTTGGGCAAGCTGCACAGTTCCAGAGTGCTTCCAGAAGGGAATGGTAAACCTGAGTATTCTATACCTAGAAAAATCTGGAAATCAGACCATGCATCAGAACAGACTTAATGGCCTGAAGATTTATGCAAGAAAAAGAAAAGGAATCCAGAGGTCAAGGTCTTCAGAACCAGGAATATTGACAGTGGGTGGTGGAGAGAGAGACTGATAGACTCACCGAAATCGTCCGTCGTTCTCGTAAGTGTTGAGTCCAGTCCACCAATGCTGCTCCTGACCTCTTGAAAACTGGCCAAATTGAAAAAGTGTACACATTTGCACGAGAGTCATCAAGGGGGAGAAAAAAAATGAAGGCTGCTTTTTCTTCTTTTTCTTTTATACTTAATTTGATTGTCTGGTTATAATTTTTTCATACTGTTACACCATTTTTCTGCTGCCTCCAACTTTTCTTCAACCAATTTATAGCTTATGCCATTTTGTTAAAATATTTTTGAATTGTCCTAATTGTGTTTTTACTCTTTTGTAATCAACTATAAGCACCATACAGTAGAAAGGTGGGGTATGAACACCATAAACAAATAAGTGCATGACAATGAGTCTTTCCATTGTAAAACCTTTCCTTCTCAGGTGAATCAGTTATTCAGCATAACTGGCTATGCATGAAAACAAGCACCCCCCCTCCCCCTTGCACTTCAAACACATACAAGGAACATCTGGTTTTGAAATATGTTTCTAATACTGCAAATGTGAGTTGTATAAACTGTTACACTGAAGTGGGGATATAGAAACAAGATTTATCATACACACCCTAGCACCCAAAACAGGGCAGCAGGGCAAAGTGTTTGAAAAAGGAATCAATCTTCCTTCCTCTATGATCTTCAAAAGAACACTACCAGAGAAAATATAGAACTCATGTTTATTAATAAATGCCTCTCCAAAGAGCTAAGGGAAGAAATGGTGGAATAATATCGTATCTTCCACTATTTTACCTTCAAAATACCCCTGCAAGGTAAATAGTTAAAGCTGCACATATGTGACCATTCTTAAAATTCTTGTCATAAACTGGCTGCAATTTTAACTACTATTCTTTCACTGTGAATTCGGCACCACTCTTAATGTATTCCAGGCAGCTCCCTACCTTCTTCAAGTTTTGGCCCAAAAAGTCCAGCTCAGCTTGGCTGTGAATTGACACCAACTCAGCCTGGAACCAAGAGCAGATCCGCTGAGCCTGCACCCAAGTTGAATGATGGTCAAAGAACCTGTACTCAGCATCCTGATATTTCACCCACTCTTTGTTCCCTGTAGAGAAAGGGGAAATGTGAAGGGGCCCTGGGATGCTCTGTTTTGAAGTAGATATGGACCATCTTAACCAATCATCACTGAAGCCACTCCTTTCAATCTTCCCACTTTAATGTTTGGCTCTCTTGATATCCCAAGAACTTATTAAATTGCTGCTCTTCCACTGATAACTCAACATGATCTTCAAACTGCTTTCATTAATGTCATGGGAAGGGCAGGAAATCTATTCTCCTCCAAATCTTGTTGAATTACAATTCCATCATTGCCAACCACTGGCCATGCCATCCAGGAATAATGGAAGTCAAAGTATAATTGGATCAGATGTTGTTATCTGGTCACATCAAAGTCCATTAAGTACGAAATCCCAACTTCTAACAGAAACTAACCATATTCACTCATAGAACATATAGTAAATGGATATAAACTTCTATTGTGCTTTATTCTGAGGATATGGTAATCTAAGGCCTCCTGCCTCATACAATGGAAGCTCCATCCCATAGCTAAGAACCCCTGATGGTTGGAGTTTCTTCATGAATTTTCCCAATCCTTTCAAAAGTGCATTTATCCAACAGTACGTCCTGGGTTTCATTGGTTAATGATGGGTTTGTATAAACAATTAATTGCTACTAGTTTTTCTTACAAATTAAAATACTCACTCTGGATCTTGAGACAGAGAGATTAATTTTTCTCTTATTCGGTTTCTCTGTATCACTCACAACTCTATAGATCTTTATCATATCACACCTCACACATATCACACAGTTGCTCTTTCCTAAGTTAAAATTATTCCTTAAATCACCAGTAGGGCAATCATTCACATCTGAGCTTTCTACCTTTTCTTCTCTCCAACACTGCCATATCATTTTAAGTGTATATTCTCGATAACCTTGACTACTGTGGAACTTCTTACTGTTCTCCCCCAAGGGGCTATGTGGAATTATTTTGATGCAACTGATCCACATAGTACATCTGTACAGGCTACTTCAGCACATTCTGTACCTCTATAGGCCCACAGCTGGCAGGGACCCAATTAGCCGCCTAGAGTGGTCTTAACCGACCAGATAGGTGGGATATAAATAAAATAAAATAAATAATAAATAAAATAAATTCTTTCTGTTGAGTTGCCTGATAAGGAAGCTTCCCATTCAATTGGTTTCTTCCATTTTACATAGGGCACTTAGGTTTTCTTCTTGAGGAACATACCTCACACTCAGAAACATAAATGTACGCTACGTTGTCCAACTGAGAGTGCACGATTCTTTCTGTTGAGTTGATTGGTAAGAATGCTTTCCATTGAACTGGTGTCCTCCTTTTTGCATAGGACACTTCTGCTTTCTTCTTGAGGAACATAGCCCACACTCAAAAACATAACTGCACGCTATGATGTCCAACTTAGAGTGCAAGATACTGCCACCAATATGTACGTACCTGGGCCTAGACCACAGTGCATAAAGTGTGATTCTTCATCTCTGTTATTGGACTGTAACTCGCATCAGCCCTAGACAGCCATAGCCAATGTTAAGGAATGCTGGAAGCTACAGTTCAACAATATCCAGAGTGCCACATTTTGCATACCACAAGCTATATATTAGCAATAGCACAGTCTGTAACAAAATCACCAGAGTCTCCAAAAGCTGAAACAACACAGCTGAACAGAGATGAAGCTGGCATTTCTTCTTGTCTAGCAACACTTTTGTTGCCCTGACAAGGCAAGGAGTAAGAGGTGAGAAATAGAGTTACAGTATTTGGGAAAAGAAGCATTACTAACTGTAGCGAGATATATCCACTCACCTTGGATAGTTGTCTCTGGCTCTTTCACATCAGTGCCTGTTAACAAAACCACAAAACCATCAAGAAAGCAAGGGAGGTGAGCCCAGCATAACTCCGAATTTTTGTCAATTTTCTCATATTGGAAAGACAGTTGCTTCAGGGAAAAAATGATTTCCATATCTTGTCTACACTCTAATCCATGGTGGTTATGGAGATGGAATGAACAGATGGTCCAACTTTCAACCAACTGTTGATAGATCTTGGTCGATCCTTGACATGACTGTACAAGATACGCTATAATTTAAGTGTAATACATAGCCATAGAGTTACTAGGATTAAATAAAATTCCACAACAGAAAATACGTTTTCAAGTTCATCAGGCTAGCACTGAGGTGAAGGGGTGGTGGCAGCAAAAAAAAGAAAAGAAAAAAAGAAATCCAAAGATCTGACCAGATGTTGTAGTCTGCAGTTTCAGCATCAGACTAGGCACTGCTTCATGCAATCTGAGACCTGCTCCATATTGGGAACAAGACTGGATGCAAACCCCACCTAGAACAACTTCTGGTAAAAATTTGCATGCTTCTTCTCTTCCCCTAATTTTCAATCACCTATTCTGATGAAGAGTTTTGTAAAACTCAAAAGCTTACACATTCTTGTTGAAACTTAGTTGGTTAATAAAAATATCAACTAAAGATACCAAAGGCCCACTTGTGCATTTTAGATTCTGGTGTATTTGTTTAAAGTATTCATATCCTACCCTTTTACTTCTTTTGCAATGCTTAGGCAAGTTAACAATTTTTTTAAAAAATGAAACCCATAGATGTCAAAGAAGAAGAACAATACTAAGCAGCAGCAAAAAGAAAAAGATAGGAACAACTGCAGGATTTCCAATTAATATAAAAGCAATGGCGGGCAGCTGCAATCTGCTCCTCAGTTTAGTGGATCAAGTGGTGCTGAAATTAGCTGATAATCAGTTTATTGAATTTCCCAAATGTCCACTGTTCTCCTGCCTCACTTCCCTCAACCTCTGAACCATTCACAAGCCCAGTCACCTTTGGGTGCTTTGCAGATCCAGTCCAGTTGTGCCTCACACTGAAGAGGTACCCATTGCAAGGATGCCAGGTCCAGTGCCACACAGTTACGAATGTCATCATCATCGTGATTACTGCGATCAAAGTTGTGATACGAAAACTGAAACGAAAAGAAAGAAGCAAGTCATCTTAGTTAATCTGTCAGGCTTCTGTCTGTACAGTGGTGCCTCGCTTAACGATTGCCCCGCATTACGATGAGTTCGCTTTACGACGATCTTCTTGCGATCGCAATTGCGATGGCAAAACGATGGTCTAAATGGGGGAATTTCGCTTCGCGTTGATCGGTTCCCTGCTTCGGGAACCGATTTTCGCTTTACGATTATCAAAAACAGCTGATTGTCAGGTTTTCAAAATGGCTGCCAGGTGCTTAAAATGGCTCCCCGCTGTGCTTAGGGACAGATTCCTCGCTATACAGGCAGTGAAAATGGCCACCGCATGGAGGATCTTCGCTGGACGGTGAGTTTTTACCCCATTGTAACTCACTGAACGGGTTTCAATGTGTTTCAATGGGGTTTTTAATTTCGCTTTACGATGTTTTCGCTTAATGGTGATTTTCCTGGAACGGATTATCGATTTTCCTGGAACGGATTATCGTCTGGGGTTGCTACAGTCAGGTTTTCAAAATGGCCGCCAGGTGCTTAAAATGGCTCCCCGCTGTGCTTAGGGACAGATTCCTCGCTATACAGGCAGTGAAAATGGCCACCGCATGGAGGATCTTCGCTGGACGGTGAGTTTTTACCCCATTGTAACTCACTGAACGGGTTTCAATGTGTTTCAATGGGGTTTTTAATTTCGCTTTACGATGTTTTCGCTTAATGGTGATTTTCCTGGAACGGATTGTCGTTGTTAAGCGAGGCACCACTGTAACAGTGCAAGTTTCAGGTTAGACTCAGGTTCAGATTTTGGGGGATGGGGAGGAGATTCTACTTGGCCCCACCCTTCCAACTCAGTTCCCTTCAAGGCAAACATACAGCCTAAGCACAATGATTCCCATTCTGAATGAAGATGCATATGACACACTCACACACAAACATGCCACTGCCCTTACCACTACCAACACTGCTATGCCAGGCTAGCTGTTTCTTTACCCATTCTACCCAATGAAGACTGGGGGACAGCAATGAAGCACAGCTGTAAGCCCAGACATCCTGACTTCTGCACCTTAATTATTTCACCCTACCAGTCACACACTAGGTTGGAAACAGCATAGGTTTCATGGTGCTGGGAGTGATTGCATCACTGCTAATGAGGTGCTCCCTCTTCCCAACTACACACAGTTCAAGGTTCTGTGCTTCAGGTCTTTGTACAGTGGTTCCCAACCTTGGGTAATGCAGGTGTTCTTGGACTACAACTCCCAGAAACTCTGGCCATCACAGCTGGTGGTGAAGGCTTCTGGAAACTGCAGTCCAAGAACACCTGAATTACTCAAGATTGGGCATCACTGTCTTAGTACAGTAGTACAGAAAATGCTGAAACAAGCTCAGATAAACACCCGAGGACACTACTGTATTCTCATAGATACCTATTCTACCATCATTAGTATATGATTTTTATTATTCCTTTTCTTCCAACAGCAGGTAAGGAACACTGGGCTTAGATATTCTGCAATAGGAAAGCTTAGCTCAGAGACCACACATGAAGCTGGCAAAAATGTTTCCAAAGTTCTTTCCTTTTAAAAAGTGGTTTAGAAAAGCCAACACACCACTTACCCCGAGACCATCACTCCATTGCCAGCTCTTCTTAGCCCCAGGGTCTCGGCGATTGAGACCAATCCAGAACCAATGCTGTTCATGGATCTCGGGCTCCGATTCCCTAGAGGATAACAGGAAAGGACATGATCAGGCAAAACAGAGACACATCTTAACTGAATTATCAAAGGTTATATTCATTTTCATTTTTACTTTTGTGTTCAAGTGCCAGCTGCAGCAGCTCCCCACAGTCAAAATGGAGCTTCTGTACTTTCCCTGACACTTTTCCAATCGCTTCCCCTCACCAGTATCATGCGGCTTTCCCCTCCTGATTCCCAGAAGTATCACAACATGACCCAAAATATTGGGTGGGGTGAATCTGGGCCCCAATAAAAGGTCTCTAGGAAGATACTGGGAAGGGGAGGTTGAATCCTTGACAAAATGCTGATTTAGGTATTGAAAAGGTACCAAGATCTAATGCCCAAGATTATCAAGAACTGTAGTATAATTTGTACCCAGCTAAATACTTAGTTCTATTATCTGCATTCTATAGTTCTTTTAATTCTTTGGAATCTCTTGTGAGACAACTCCTTTCTCTCTTCTGGACTTTCTAACCAAGGCAATCTAGCTAGCCATTACCGTCTCCCTGGTCTCCGAAGCAGGGCTGCTAGAGTGGAGACCAAGGCAATCTAGCTAGCCATTACCGTCTGCTAGGGCTGCTAGAGTGGAGGAAGAATCCAGACAATTTACCCTAGGTTGCAATGAAGAAAGGGCACCTAGCTTTTTGAGTCCTATTGGTCCCTGTTCCAGTCTTGCGCTATTGCTTAACAGTATCCCTCATATTTATTGGAAGCAATGGTGCACCTGTCCTGGGTCCCATATATCCTCTAAGTGGCCCTACAGCCCCATTTCAAGGCTTCAGGCAATGGTGTCCCCAAGATCTGAAATTCTATTCCTAGAGATAGCAGGGATTGAACCCCAGGCCTTCTACATGAAGGTGGCGCACAGACCAAGCTAGGTAAGCGTTTGTCCAAAATGGGGAGAGGGCAAGCTGCTCTCTCCTATTCAGTCCATGCTTGGACAAGCTAATGTTTCCAACTCTGGTATCAACATATACAGGTGTACATGGATAAGCATAAGTATACAAACATGTGCATCCAAAACCATTGCCCAGATGTATACATCTCCTGATTGTTATAGCTTGCTCCTTACCCGAAAATCTTGTTGAGAGTGTTGGCAACAAAATGCTCCTCCTCATAACTGCCCAAGCTCAAAAGCTGGGCTTTCAGTTCCTGGCAAAACAATTGAGCCATGATCCAGCTCTTCCTTTCCTGTAGCTTCTCATAGTTGAACACCTGTTCAAGAAGCAGGGAGGAAGGGATCATGCCAAACTGCAATGTCCATGCAGGACAAATTCTTACTATAAGGCATTCTACACCATTCCTATAAATTTATTAGAGCAGCACTGAACACCAGGCATCCACAAGCTGCACATAGGTGGGAAAGATCTCACATTAAGACTTCACTTGCAGGGGGAAGTTTCTGCAAAGTGAAAAGAAGGCCAATAGAAATGTCCTTCCTTTTTGAACTTTTAGAAATAGAGCCTGGCAAGCTTGCAAAAGCAGGACTAGACTTGTTCTCATGACTTTGGCTGGTTTTTGGGATAGGAAGGGGTGGGGAATTTGTATAACTCTCATTATCCCTGACCATTTTTTCATGTTAGGTGGATTTGATGAGATTTAATTCAATCAGTGGTCCAAACTAAGTGCAGTTTGACTCAATGGGATTTACATAAGAAATGAACCATTATACAAGTATTTATTAAGTGAGTCTAGCGAGTGAACTGAGGCTTTGAAGTCCAGCATGAGCATACGCATACGCATACGCATATGCATACGCATAAGCACACACACGCACACACACGCACACACACACGCACGCACGCGCACGCCCACGCCCACACAGAGACTGAGTTTCCATGGTCAAGTGGTCATTCAAACCCAGGTTTCCCGAGTCCTCATCTGTCACTTTGACCACTATACCACACTGATTATCAATGGAGAAATATGAAGTTAAGCCTATAATAATGCCAGTGTTAACCTTCCAGATCTTACAAACTCTTGTACTATTCTCGCTCAGTCAAAACCCCAACACCTTGAACATGTATTTTCTCATTTCCGTGTATTCATTTTTATCATAATAAAGAGTCAAATGGCATCTAAAAGACAACCACATTTTATCTGGTGTAAGATTTCATGGACTGTAGCCCACTTCTTCAAATGCAAGTAAGTTGTGAGCTACTAAAGATTACAGCAAAATGTGATATTAGTCTTTAAGATGCCACAAGATTTCTCCTGCTGCAGTGGACTAAGACATTTACCCTTCTGGAAATATAGTTTGAATGAGACCTTCAAATTTATGTCTCTTACACATAAAAGCATGCACACCTGTCATAAGCTATGCTACTTTAGTAGAAGGCTGTAACACAATTTGAATGCAAAAAAAACAAAAAAACAATGCAGATCAGTAATCCTCAGTTTGTGTATAAACCCTTAGGATGAATGTGAAGCAGAGTTTTGAGTGTGAACCACTGTGTTGGCTACCTGCCTTCACTATAGTTCTTACCTTGTAGCAATGCCTTAGCTTGGGGCTGCTGACCCATCCTACAGGACAGGAGCCCGTAAGGCTTGGGGTAGGGTGTGGCAAAGGAAGGTCTGGATTCACTGGAGTACCCAGGTTCTGCCTGCAGATGTATTTGGCCTTGAAAGTAGTGCAATTCTTCACTTCCCAAAGTCCCATGGTGCTCCCTGTGGCCAAGGCAACACAGCCGCCTTTGTTGTAACCTAAAAACCTCATGGGAAAGGAGAGGGAGAAATATACCAAAGAGATGGTTTAAGTCAAAGGAAATGATTTCCCTATGGCTTGGTCAACTAATAAACATGTTAACCTTAACCACAAGAACCACCGATGAATGCACTTCCTTGCATACAGAAAAACATACAGAAAAACTTCTGCAACAGTATTGCTAAGGGAAACCAATAAACTTGTCATCCTTATCTTGCTTTGCCTGAAGGCAGATGAAGACCTCTGGCCGACTGCTGTGAAAAAAGCTTTTTGCATTATGATGGACTTTTACTCTGACCCAGGTGGACTGTTCTTAAATGCTGACCTGGTCAGCCTTTCAAGCAATATCTATGTTACATTCAGCAGCTGCAGGGCAGGTGGACACTTGCCCTTTTCCATACAGATGTGCCTTTTGTCTCACTCAGTGTAAACATGAATTCAGGATTTCTTCCTCCATATAAACCACTCTCTACTTAATCTGAATTTCAAGTGCCGTTTTGCCACATGTAGGTTCAACTAGATCAAAATTTAATCACCATGTTTATGAAAAAAAAGTCATGTGAAGTCACAACTATATTAATGTAAATATTTGATGCCATCTGCAAACTTGACTACCTTACTGCTCATTCCGGACCTTACTTTTACCAGAATAGCTTCTAGTTAAGAGATTCCACAATTTATAGTCCCAAACAGTAAATTCTTGTGCTTTTCAGTTGGATAGGCATGCCCCAGTTCTTGGAAAGCAAAAGTCTACCATCTCTCTCACACAAAAGGAGTTCACAGACATGAACCGAAAAGACCAATAAACTACAACCCTTAAATGACAATGTGTCATGCATAGCTATGTAAATCCCCGCTTGTCTCCTCCTCACATGTGAGGCTGAGGAACTGCAGCATTCTTTTCCTCATTGACCTTGAATTTCCTGGTGCTCTCATTAGAGTTCTCATATTGGTGAAAACTTTCCCCCCCAAAAAATTTGTCCAAGAATAGTCAGTTTTTACACACAATTACACATTTGGTCAAATCAAAGAAGCTGCTCATTAAAAAAGGATGATTGCTGCCTTGTTTAAGGATTAGAGGAGCTGGTATCTTTCTTAACCATCAGCCATGCAAATTTCAGAGACCATGAGGAGAGAGAGAGAGGAAAGCTTTTCTTGTCACCTTCAGCAGGGGCCAAGGAGTCTTGCAGGGCTTTAAAATTCCTCACCAAGGTGTTTCTTTGTATTGCGAAAGCCTAAATTGAGGAAAAAAGGGGATCTAACAGGTATTCTGACCAAATCTAGTCATGCACTACTTTTCACAACTGCCCATACATGCCTGTACCTGAAGCTGGCAATTTCCTCTAGTTAAGTTCTTTATTGCCAGAAAGGATGTATTTGTTGAGCATTTTGTGTGCGTGCGTGCATAGAGGATATTGTTTTAGTTTAGTAGGCAATTACAAAAAACAGAAGAATATATAGAGGTATATATAAGTAAAATGCAAATTGCATGTAACATTGTCAAACAAATGAACTGGTTAAAATATAAGCACTCAATAATAAATAATATAAGAGTAAAAGAACCATTTGGGTTCATATAGCCTAGGTGATTAAAATAGCTCTGGCTTAAATGGAGGAATAAAAGTTATTAAAATTCCCTATAAAATTTCAAGCATTTTTTTAAAAAAATAAAAATATAAAAGACTATTAAATGGTATGAAATTAACTCTACTGCAAATTATTACGCAAAAGAAGATAAGATTCGAGAATCTGAAACCAGTGAAGTCATTTAAAGCTATTTGTATAATAAGAACAATTTACTTAATTGTCTATGAATACAAATTAATACAGCAACTGCAAGGTGAAGCCTTGGGGTTGCTCAAATGAACTAATAACTGGAGACGGAGAAAACAATATAGTGCTGTGGCACCTAAAAGGAAAACAAGTTTTATTTAGTGTGAACTTTCATGGACTGCAGCCCACATTTTGAAGGCTACAGGGCATGAAAGCTTATGACAAATTAATCTTCTTCACTTTAAGGTCCTCCAGACTCTTTATTACTTTTGCTGCAAGAAACTTCAGACCAACATGGGTAGTACGATACCACTCTGGAGATAGGAAGTACGTATATATGTGAATACCTATACAGATATTGGGTTATGTCCAGGCTCGGTGACACCACAGAAACACTGATTTCATCAGACCTACTCTAAGCATGACATATAGGCAGCATCCAGCACTAGACAGCTAATTGGACAAAGGTGAAATCTAATTTTAAGGAGGGCATGGCAATCTCCTCTCCTTGCTGTAACCTCCCAAACACTCCCAAAAATCTGCTCTGAAGAGCGAGAATACCCATCCATGCCAGAACATGTTTTTGGTGCCAGAAACAACTGCAGAATGGGAGCAAAAATCCTGACACTATTGCCATGTGAAATCCCATGTGAAAACAAATTAGGAGGATTTTAAATATCACTGACAATGACCTGGTATGTGTGTAACCAGAAGGATAATATGAAAATAGTACTCCATCAGCATAAGAATTTTTACCAGGCTGGTTGCGGTTCCAATGGGTGTACATAACTTCATCCCCGCTCAACCAATGGAAGGAACCAGTTTCATTTATGTCTTGCAGTGCTGTCCAGAAATACTCATCTTCCCAGCCGTAAATTAAGCTACTCACATAGGCTTGTTCAAACCTTGTTTAGAGAAACAAAGGAATGAGTCAGTTACTTCGTTACTACATCCACCAACCCTTGTTCTGTCCTCCAGAGGTTGATTTGATATGGCAGCCTGCCCATTCAGCCACCCTCTGTGTTCTCCAGGCAGCATCTGCTCCTTCCAAACACAACAAAAAAAGGTCAAGAATTTGGCCCATTTTTACTCTGGAGAATTCATAGTGGAATATTTGGAAACTTTTTCCACCGTAACCCTCTTTATTTGAAGAATAAAAGCCAGTGTTACAGTAAGTCTGCTGTGTGACTTACAACAAACCACACACCTATTGGTGATGGTGACCAAGGTTGATGCATAGTCCATACAAGTCTTTCGAGCGTCACTGTAAATCACATGGTCATCTCCCAGCCAATAGCAGGATGGACTGTGCCATTTCCAACCCTGACAAAAACAGCAAATAACAACAAAATCATTATGCATTAATTGATTGACATTGGCCCAAATCCTTTCACATAAATTACACCTACAGAAGAGCAACAACATCACCAGCAGGGGAAGATTTTCAGTAATTCAAGACTTCCTCCTTATATCCTACAGCTTATCTGACCTGTGTTTTCATTCAACACAAACAGTGGGTGACACAGGATGGAAGTATGGAAGTACTGAATTACTGAAAATCTCCCATCACCAGCAGGGGAAGATTTTCAGTAATCCAAGACTTCCTCCTTACATCCTACAGCTTATCTGACCTGTGTATAATCATTTTCATTCAACACAAACAGTGGGCGACACAGGATGGAAGTATGGAAGTATTGAATTACTGAAAATCTCTGCCACCAGAGAATGTTATTGACAGGGGAAGATCTTCATTAATTAAAGACTTCTTCCTTCCATCCTGGAGTGCCTTCTGGAATGCATGCAAAGAATGCAGTTACATGTCATTCTGACAAACTGCAAGATGAAAAGAGAAAGTCTTTCATTATCAAGAATGTCCCATGGGTGATGTCACAATGGCCAATACCTTGTTGCATAGTGTAGTAAATCACAGTGAAGTAGGTCAACTGAATCAATGGGGATTTGGTGAGACAACTCCTCCATAAATTCCATTGATTCCATCAGGCCTACTCTAACTGTAATTTACTTTAGCATAATAAATCACAGATACAGTAGGCCACTTTGAATCAATGGAACTTTCAGAAGAGCTGTCTTACCAAATCCCAGTTGATTAAGTGGGCCTACTCTACTGTGATGCACTGTGCTAGAATCAATGGAACTTACAGAAGAGCTGTCTTACCAAATCCCAATTGATTAAGTGGGCCAACTCTACTGTGATTCACTGTGCTGAGCAAGAAGATTTGTTTATTTATTAAACTATCCATATTAGAAATATAAGAATTGGGAAATGTTAACAAAGTGTAGGTTGATAAGGTTATATTCTGCTTCACTAGGGGAGTCAGTTATGATGTTTAATTTTTTTGCTTCTGACAGCCAGGAAGAGCCTTCAGGCTGTGGTTTACTATCAGGCCTTGCATCCTAGATGAACTGCTGGATAGCTCATTACAAAGTTGGTTACTGTAATACTTATAATGTTTAACTTTTTGTTTTTGCACTTACATTTCTCCAATATAATTAGTTAATTTTTTAAAAGAAAATGAATGCTTGAGGCAACTATCACCTTTTCTACCTATTACTTTAATATCCAGAACAAGAGCTAGCACTTAAACCATGTGATAATCCTCCTCCATCTCCACCCTTATAACTACAAAAGTAACAGAAAATTAAAGTTATGCCACAAACAGAGAAAAGTTATTTCTTCACAGATAACTAGGTATTTGCAGCTATGTATTTCTAAGCTCTGGTGTGATCAGTCTGAATAAACACATTGACTTCAACTTTCCATGATGTTTACTAAACAGGATATATCTACACATAAAAGCAAAGTGATGGTGAAGTCAACCAGAGGAAGAATTAGGATTCCTTTCACTGCATTTTTACCATTGCCATCACAATAAATAGAAGCAGAACACTTGCTAATCAAGCAAAGATGGTACTTTATGGAACTCTGAATGTATGCAAGCAAGTATCCTCGCAATGAGCAGCATATTAGCTAACAACATGCTATTCTTTCCTTTTGCAAAATCTCCCATTATCAATTAATAAAATCACTTCTAGAGAAAGTATAAAATAGTTTCCAAGCATTTTTCAATAACACAATCGAAGAACATCTTATTCCCCAGCAAAATACATAAAATCATGATTTTGCACTTTATCTCCAACATTCTAATACTGATTAAATGTATGAATACGTGCTGGTAATTTTTTTTCCGTTTATGTCTTCATTGGTAATGGGATTGATAAAATCACTTTCTCAACTTGCCTCGGTTTTTTTGAACAGGTGAATCTAGACTGCATATATTTTAGGTTACAATAGTCAATGAAAATTTTTGTTTATTAATTAAGTTTCATTGCTTGTTAGATTTTTACATGCATTATGTTTTCTGTGCATTTTTAAAAACAGGCCTCATATTTTCTGAAAGGGGGAGGCTGTCATGTTTTTTCATGCTGCCCTAACATCAGTGAAGCATAACACAACAAATCACCACCTTGCCTTTTTATCCGGCCTGGGAGGCATGCAGGCGGGTGGGGGCATGTGTGTGGGAGTGCATGCATCGTGCAGGAGTGTGTGTGTGTGTGTCTGTGTCTGTGTGGGCATGGATGCAGGAGGGCATGCATGCAGGAGGCTGGGCGGCATATGCACACATCTCTTCAAATCTGGAATATATATGCTGTGGCCCTCACTCTGAAAAGTTTGGAGACGCCTATATTAGATCAAAATCTGTTCTTGGGCTAATAGTCTATATTGTTGTCTTTAGCAGAGAAATTTATTTAACCCATATTGGTCAATAGTTCTCCCTTTTTCTACAAAACTGCTATCAAGACTGTAGTCTGAGATTTTGAAGGACATCAGGTGTTGCTCTTTCATCTTACTTACTGCACAGCTGCTGCTTCCTCCCCACAATGAATTTATTAAACAACACATTTTCTTCTTAAATGCTGTGCCATTTAATATCCTTTGATATTATCCTTGGAAAATATCCTTGGATATTTTCACAACTGGTCGATGACGTGCAATTTCTAAAGACATCTATCTTCTCTTTGGTTTCACTCTGTCAGGGTTTATTCACATGATCATCTGAATCCAAGGTATTAATAATATTTCAAACAAGTCTAAGTGACTGCTAGTCACAAGTGTGAATTCTGCTTTTGGCAGTCCATTGCAAGCACTACTGTTCAAAGTCTTGTTATCTGACCAGCTGAGTTCTGCAGTCACATAATTAGGAAAACAGGGAACTGCCCTATACAGAGCCAGACCTCTGGGCCATGTATCCTAGTACTGACAACTCTGACTGGCAGCAGTGATCTTTTCTAGTTCCTCCTAGACATTCCTGGTATTTCTTAGTGACTGCCTATCCAAAAAAAAGGAAAGAAAAGAAAAAGAAACAAACCCAACCCTCCTTAGCTACTATAATCAGAGGAGAAGAGATTTGTTCAGGATGGCAAATAAAGTCAGTGCAGTTAAATTAAAAACAAAACAAAATACTTCATAGCTGCCAGACATACAGATGTGAGACTATGATGCGGTGATGATGAACAAAAGGCATTTGTTAAAACTGTCTGTTTACACAAGACTTTTACAATCAGAAAAGAACATTCAAAATGATCACAGTGTATTAAAATTGTTCATTAGCTCCAGTGCTATCCATATTTAGCCTTTTTGTGCAATTACTTATTTATTGAATTTTACTGGGGTTGCAGATAGATCACGTTAGACTTTCACTCTCCTACTACTTCTCCTGTCCTTTTACTCAGCAAAATTGAGGGAGGTGGAAGATTTGTTAAAAAGGAGGAAATAGAATAACAACAAATTGTCTCCCCTGAACGGTAGTATGAGCTGGTACTCTCTCTATGTGGAAACAGTCTTATTCTTTACTGTAAAGGTATATACACACAATTAGTCTTCAAAACAGAAACCAGCAGCTTGAGTCATAGGAGAACTCTGAAACAATGTAAGGTAAAGGTAAAGGTTCCCCTTGACATTTAGTCCAGCCGTGCCCAACTCTAGGGCGCGGTGGTCATCCCTGTTTCCAAGCCATAGAGCCAGCGTTTTGTCCGAAGACAGTTTCTGTGGTCATGTGGCCAGTGCGACTAGACACGGAATGCCGTTACCTTCCTACCAAGGTGGTACCTATTTATCTATTCGCATTTTTAGATGCTTTCGAACTGCTAGGCTCGCAGGAGCTGGGGCAAGCAACGGGAGCTCACTCCGTCGTGTGATTCGATCTTATGACTGCAGGTCTTCTGACCTTGCAGCACAGAGGCTTCTGTGGTTTAACCCGCAGCACCACCACGTCCCTGAAACAATGTAAACATAGCTAATTTTTTAAAAATTTCTGTGGTTTAACCGCAGCGCCACCACGTCCCTGAAATAATGTAAAGATAGCTAATTTTTTTAAAACTGTAACACTGAAGAATTAGGAACCTAGTAAAAACAAGGGGGAGGACCCAAGCCCAGTTTAAAGCAGAAGAGATGAACGAACAACCAACACCGTCTAACACAGTCCATCCTCAGCTTACATGAAAGGACTTACATTGAAAAGACCAACAATCTACCACCTCAAATATTTAAAGTTAGGGCCAGGTAAGCTTCCCTACATAGATCCTTCAATACATGTTGTCCTAAAGCTAAAAGGCCCTGCTCCTTATAGGCACTTTGCAGTACCTCAGCCAACGAGGAATTGGACAAATTTGTTAAAATTAAAATTAACTCACCACTTGAGCCTTCAAAGGAGCACCAGATAAAGGGTGCCGAGTTTCCAAATCTGACATTTTAGCAGCAATGTCCCTTTATCCAAGACATAGCATAATATATCTCCTTAGCATTGCAGCAAACAACCACATTTTGGTCTTATCTAGATTGAGCTGTGTGGGACTGGGTGTGGATTAATAAATCCACACCCTGTCCCACACAACAAATAAATCAAGCTTTTCTGCAGCCTCCATGTGACCAGGAGCCATAGGGGCTTTCTTCTGAGTAGATGAGCACTGAATTGCTCTATTAAGCTTTCCTGCCTATGAATAAGAATTAAGACTAACCTACTCCAGTTAAGTGTTAGGATGGCTGCTGCAAGCAATAATGTTTTCTGCATTAAAACTATCATACAAAATTATAACAGTGACAGGAAACTCCTGAAATGAATTGCACTTTACAAAAAACCTGATCCCACTGGGTGGACATGGACTGCTATGCAGGAGGCGCACAGAACACAACAAGGAAATGGTCTAAAGAGCTTCACAGTCCTGTCTTTTTTCTACCCTTAAAGTTTTCTGCAGCATTCATTTTACGAGGAAAAAAAATAAAACAAGAGCTTGATAGTTGTGGG